AAGAGATGTTCTGTAGCAATTTTATGCACTTATATTTAACATCCTTATGACAAAAGTAAACAAACAAAAAATAATTGTGGTACTGTTCATCCTCAAAAAAGAGAATTAGAGAAATATGAAGATACTTGTTAAAATGCTAAAGGGGGCAGACAAGGGATCTACTTTATATGTCCCATGGTGAATCTTTAAGGTCACCAAACTGCAAGTGCATATCTAATAAATAACGCTCCAGGAAGGGCATAAGAAAGCCAATGTTGTTAACACTGGGATAAGGTCAGTTAGTAAAATCAAAGAATCATACTTCAAAAAGTTAATGTCATGTTTTAGACAAGAACACGAAGTTTTCTTTCAAAAGCTAGCAGGCTAAATGTAAAATACTGTAAAACAAGCTCAGAAGCAGCAGAGGAACAACTTGCAAAAAACAGAAACTAACAATCCCATTTCAAATGCAACAAAACAAGGAATGCTGCCAGAGTCTATAAGACTAGTAGATAAATCAGAATATACAAGGAGCATGTAGAGAAGATAAAGCCATAACCCCAGACTGAATGATGTTCTGTTTCTATGCTCTGTTGTAGAAGAGCTTGAAGAGGTTCTCAGGTTTATATTCTTCATGGACAGATAAATTCAACTTTAGAAAAATAACCAGTCAAAATCTTACTTACTTATTGATTGCTATAGCAGAACTGGTGACTGTTGTGTACTTCTCAATTAACACCCTTTTGTACCAGATGAATTAATATTATGCTAATATTTAACAGAGATTCTAGGGAAAAAAAATAAGGAATTTCAGATACTACAGATTACAGAATCCAAAATAAAAGACTGCAGTTTTGGCTCTGATAACTGTAGCAGGTACATTAATAGAAACTACTATAAAGAATAAAATTAATGAATGTATTCTCTTTGGAGGAAGAATCAAAACTGCTTTTTTGAAAGACAGGTATTCCTCATATGTTTTTGAAGTCTTCTGAAGCTGCCAACAGAACTTTAGATATAGTTTACTTGAATTTTCAAACCAGCCTTTAGCACAGCCTTATTATGCAAAAACATAGAGAAGAAAGAAAGCAGTTTTTCACACATCCAGAAGGAAACTTCCAAAAATCATTGCCAGGAGGTTGGGGAGGCACACAGGACTATACAAATTTAGGGGCTAAATGCCTGTAAACATATATCAAAGGAAACAGTCCTCTTACAGATGTCCTCTGACATGACAAAAGTGAGTAGCAGAGGAAACTACAGAGAGGGTTAGACCATAGAAGGTAGCAAGGTTCATGTGCTCTCTCTAAATATCATCTTCTCTTCTCACTGATGAACACAGTATGCTGGGCCAAATGGACCATCAGGGTGTTTTTTTATGTTCCTATTTGAACATCGTGACAAATATGTGCACACAAATCTTAGGGTTCTCCCTCCTCTAAAGCGAGTTGTAGCAAAAAAAACCTAATGCACCCATCTAGTCTGGAAATCAAAATGCACAGGGAATAGACTTTACTGAGCTGACAGTTCATTGCACTGGTAAATTAGAAACCTTCTCTGTTGGGAGTGGTGGGATTTTGATGGTTTGGATCTTTTTCAGCAAAGACATACACAATACAGGAATCTTGGCATACATGCCTGCTTACATGCTTTCTGTAACAGTCTTTAGTATCTCACTTTTTGTACCAAGCACGTCTCAGCTTGATGAGGATGAGAAAGCTGCATATTAATCATCGGCATAAGTTTTTTTTCATATGCTTATGTGAAAGAGTTACAATATTTGTGTAATGCTACAGCTGATAATATAGCTGTGTGCATACAGCTCTCTGAAGCACTGGAAGCATCTGCTTCCTTCTGTTACAACATTAAACCAATATAGACATAGATAGCATGTGCTGTTTGCTGCCTATCTACTTTCTCAGTTGGTATATGCATGGTTAGCATGGTCTTTAGAACCAGTGGATGTGCTCAGTATGTCTGCCTCAGGTGTTGGCATCAGTTTCCACTGGAACACTGTGTTTGTAGCAAGCCAGATGTGCTCACACTCAGCATAGATGCAAATACACTTCTCGTATATGTACCAGTCACATCCAGGACCTATTCCTTACCCCCTCATCTGCTCTGTGATGACCTTAGAGAGGCTACTAGGGCAGGAAAAGAAATTTGCTCATGGATGAATTCTGTTGAGTCTGTGGAGCACCAAGCCCACTGCCAGGTGCAAAACTGAGAGAAAATCCCCCAGAGAGCTCAGGAAAATTCAAGGCCTGTCTCCAAGAGACCACCATAAGCAGGAGACTTAAGCATAAGACTGAATAGAAGCCCTGACCCTCACCCTGCAGTTAGACCTGTCAACACAAACTGATCATGCTGCAGTTTGCAGAGGAAAGGCCGGGACAATGGCCAGGCACTGGAAGCCAGAGAAGACTTAATTCTTTGCTAATTATTCACTAATGCTTCAGTTCACATTGAAGTAAAGTTTATCAATAAATTCCTGTTCTGTGTCTCACTTCTCTTCAGCTAAGATGAGGATAATGCCTCTTAAGCATGACCAGAACGACACAAAGGCCAGCAGTGATTGCCTGGGCTGCTGGTGGATGCTGCCAGTGTGGAGGGCCTGGCTTACTCCTGAAGTGTGTTGTAATCATATGCCATTCAAGCATGCCTGATTTATTGTGAGCAAATGAAACAGTCCTGCAAGACAGGACTGAAGGTGGATAGTATGGATTGTCATCCATGCCTTATTACTGTACTCAAAGGCCAGTGGTCACTGCCTGGGATGGATCCCAGAGGCAATACACACACACACGTATTAAAAAACCCAACGCATTGCGTTTACTCTGGGCTTGAGTGCTCATCTACAGGTGAATTGCATTCAAACATCCCAGTGATTCTGCGACTACTGCAAGTTCTGCCCAGGTTTCAGAGGCCTGGGTGACATTACCAGTGATTACTCAGAACTCTTTATCCCTTTTCTCTCTTCAAGGCCAGCTCTCCAATATTTGGCCGTTTTTACTGCACAGAAGGGTAATGGATACAACATCTGGGAACAGGGAGATGCGTGGCCTAAAGAAACAAGAAAAAGTCAAGAGGCAGGAACGGAGATGCCTCCCGAGTAAGAACCATGTGCTCTCAGTAGCTCACACGCCTTTTCCCAGCTGATCGGCCAGGTGCCGTCTCCTCGGAACTGGAACAGCCTCGCCTGCTTTGCCAGGGCAACAACTTTTGTTTCTGCTCTCCGCGATCGTTTATCTGACGTGTTTGTAAACACCAGCGCGTATTTGGTAAAGGTTTCGAGTTTAACAACTTTAATAAACGCCACGACAGTTCCTCCCCCCCCGCCACTCATCCCCCTTGCAGGCCCTCCGGTCTCCCCGCAGGGCGAGGTCCGCCCTTCCCTCCGCGCATGCGGCCGCCGCGCGCGCAAAGCCTCTTCGGGCGCTGGAGTCCTGCAACCCCGCCTGTCACGGCGCGGATGCGCCTTCTGGACTCCTTGTCGCCACGGCAGCCTTGCGAGGAACCGGCGCCCGGACGGGCGGCTGCCGCAGCGGGCAGCAAGGGCGGCTAGTTCAGTTTGCCATAGCGGCGAAGGTGAGACGGGCCGGGAGGTGCCCGGGAAGCGGGCGGCCGCTCGCCTCGGTGCGCCGTGCGGTGAGAGACTCGGGGGCGCGGAACGACGACAGAGTCGGGCACTGCCGGGCCAGGGCGGATGTGCGGGAGGGGCTGGTGCGGGACGGGGCTGTGCGGGACGCTGGCTGTGGCGGGACGGGGCTGTGCGGACGGGGCTGTGCGGGACGGGGCTGTGCGGTGCGGAGCGCCGCGGGAGGGCGGCGCGCGGTTGGAGCGGCGCCGGGCGGGAGCGGCGGCGAAGAGGCGCGGGGAGCGGGGGCCGCGGGGCTCCTCGGGACAGCCCGGGACAGCCCGCGGGCCTGGCGGGGTCCCGGCTGCCGGCGTGCCCGGAGCCCTGCTGGAGTGCCCCGCGGCCCCAAGGAGTGGAGCGCGGTGTCACAAACTGATAATAAAATGTGGTACAGATGCCTGATGGCGAACTGTCACCATGTGGGATCGTCTTCCTGGCTTTTTGAAAACTCCTCTTGGCTCAAATTGAAGGAAAGGGCCTTTCAGGTGTTAGCTATAAGTCTTAGCTATAAGGCTTCAAACCTGCCTTTAACAGTAAGTCAGTTACCTAGTGATATATCGGTCTGTGTAGAGCTGGACAAATAAAAACACTTGAGGAGTAATCAGGTGACTTTATCTGTGGTTTACCTGAGCTGGAGAACTTACTGTTGAGACCGTCAGGTCTGCTTCGTGTTTGTTTTACCCTGAGAGTCCTCAGTGAAAACGAAATGCCCTATTTTCTACAGGAAAGGAAAGTATCAAGTATTGATGCTTTTCATCAGTTCAAGAAAAGTTATGATCTGTTTGGGTAGAAAAAAGTGATAAGCTTTTTTTTTTGTTTAAATTAATAGGCAATGTACATATGGAACATTTGTACAAATTTCTATTCCTTTATGATTTTTTTTTTAAATCTAAAATGAAACTTCTGTATTTCCTTTTAAAATGAGGATGTTGCTTTATATGAAACAGAACTTCATCGACTTAAAAGTACTTGTGGTTCCTTTTAGGTTGCTCATGAGAATAAAAAGGAATGCTACTTGATCACAAATAGTAAGTTTTCTTGAGACAAAATGTCCTCCTTGTTCAGTGCTTTCTTTTATGTTTACCTTGCTTACTGGCCTTTCTTCAGTGCTTTACCTAGTAAGTATCTTAATGAACCTATTTTTGGTCAGCTGAAAATGAACCAGTTAATCTTTCCTGTTGTAAATCTTCATTTCCCTTTTTTTTTTCTCTAGTGTCTTTACTTTTGAGTAGTTGGGGCTCTTATGGTTGAGTCAACTTGTTTGTTGGTTTTTGTAATTTTTTTTTAAACCAAATTACGGTAAAAAATCAGTATTATTCCATGTTGTTATTTCTACCAGTGTTTTATTTGAAAATATCCCATATTTCCTGTTTCCCAGTGTTTAGTATTTATGCTTACTCAGCATCATTAAGACTTCATTGCAGCTGACTAGAGTGAGAGGCACTGGAATAGTGAATTCTGATACTGTCAGAAAAATGTGCTTTAGTGACATAAGAAGATGGAAGATGAGATAAATTCACCACTTCAGAAAATGTAAGGAATACTGGTGTACTTGAGCATAGACTGAGCATGTTGATTTACTCTTCCTTCATGTTTGAAAGGTTTCTATCCAAGTCCAGGGGGACAGAAATATACAACCTTTTAAAAACTAAATATAAGGATCTGGAGAAAGTTGCCTCCATATAAAATACAATATAAACTTTGGATGCATCCATGGTTTCTTTTGGAAATTTCAACTCTAATGGCTAGAAGAATGACACCTTTATTTTCTTTTTGGTGGTGGTGTTGACTACAGGACTAAAGGGGTTTCAAGAGTATGGCAGTCTGTTTCCTCTTCCCTTAAGTAGCCTCAGACTGTCTCCCAACACAGGATATTAACACAGATTTTGTGAATGTGATTCCATGACCTTTAGGCAAACTGCTGCAGTGTGTAGTAGTCTAAGAAAATATTTCTATCTAACCTACTTTTTGAGGGTTGTTATTTTAATCAGTTACTATGTGACTTTACTATACTAGGCATAACTGTTTGCATTTCCCTCCTCTATCTTGCCATACTTGAGACTTATCAATCTCCATTCTGTCCTTACAAGCTGTATTTCTACTGCGTCAAGTAATTTTTGAAGTCAAGTGAAGTGCCTCAGCATCAATATAGTAATCTGGGTTATGTCAAATTAACATTGGAGAATAGAAAGAATATTTTACAATTCACAACATTACCCTTATTTTTGCAACTTGTGTGGTGTTAGCTTTTTTTTTCTAGAAGATGACGCTGTTGATGCGTATTCAACTAGAAGCTTTCCCCTCCGTACCTCTTTCTTCTACCAACTTCAGTTTTTTTAGCTGTATTTTTCCAGTGCAGCTGTATTTGTGTCAGCTGCAGACTTAATCAACTTATTATATTACATTATCAGGTCACTTAATGAAAAGGTACAGTGGATTCACTCTAGGTTCTTGCTTGATACCTCTGCGATTTGACAGTTTCTGTTAACTGCTCTATGAGTTCTGATACTTATCCAGTTTTAGGAAAGCTTGCTTAGTTCGTTTTATTTCAGCTTACTTTTGTGATTGTCATGTGTGTTCAAGACTTAAAGAAAAAAAAATGACCTCTACTGCTTCTTCCCTGTTTAACAAATTTACTCATTACCAGATTGATTTATTTGATATCAACACATACACTGTTATTGTAAGATTTTGAGAACAGATCTTCTGTTGGAAACTTAAAATAGTCCATTTTAATTTTTTCCACATATTTAAATTGATTAATCTATATCTTCCTGGCCACAGTTTTCTTTCCTTTCCCTTCTATTTAAAACACTCCCTTCTCCTGTAATATTTCTGGTTCTCCTTGAGTCATTAAGATAGTGATTCCTAGACTTGCTTAAGACAGTTACTTGGGGTTATTTGTCTTAGCTGGCCCTGGACAACCTGAATAGAGCTTAGCAATAGTATGAGGTAAAGGGGAATGGCTCTGCAGACTCAAACAATTGATAAAGCATTGATATCTCCACTGTATGTTCTGGGGGGAGAATTTGCTTGGGGCCATGATCTTGCCATGGGTACTGAACACTTGGAAGTATTGAGAGTGCATCTTTTGATTTAGTTTGCTCCTAAGAGGCTCTGCCTTTTGCTTTGTGATGTGAATGAAGATAATAACTAAGGAGCAGTTGGAAGATCTGCTTCAAAAATACATCCTGCTGACCCAAATTAGAAAGGCTAATGGAAATGTAGTCTGAGTCTATGAAGTTGCTTTGGAATTATTGTGCAAGACTGTTCGGTTACAATGAGGATTTAGCATACATTACTTTTTCTGCTCTTCCTACCTAGATTGCAAGATACTAATGGCAAATTCATCCAGTGATTCAGACAACTTTCTTACGGGTCGAACAGGAAGACGGCTGCCTTTGAGAGCATCCTACAACAGAGCTCAGAACTATGGTGCTGAAGCAGTTACAGAGAAGATCCATACTTTAGCAAGCACTTTACAGGTTGTTTACAAAACACAGTTTTAAAGTATTTATAGAGTCTGCATTTCTGTAACGTAGGACCAAATTTTCTTTTCTAAAGTTGTGGAGTATACTCTATAGATGAGAAACATTGCTTTCCGTGCAAACCAAAAAGGCTTTGGAACATTGATTGTACTGCTTTTGAGCTGAAAGCGTGTAGCTTGTTACACTTTTATACAGCTGTTATTTCAGACAGTAATAGAATGTTGTTAGAAACAATTACATTTTGGGTAATACCTTTGTAACGTTAGCAAAGTGAATAAGGCCAAATAAGATTTTTCAGATTCTCACAAAAGGCAATAAATTTTTAGCAGAAATTTCCAGCCCTGTCTTGGTTGCCTTGTACTGTGTAAAATTTCCAAATTTCTGATAAAGTAAATATGTAGGCAGTCAATTCCTTCATCATAGAGCTTACATTTCAAATATCTTCTAGATGTGGAACAGTACAGTAAGAAGCATTATTTCTAAACTTGTAAGAGATACATACCTGAGCAAGAAAGAGTGTTCATCTAATTCCTGCTGCTTCAGTGGACGCAGTGGAGGGAATATCTGAATCTGTTTTGCAAGTGGGAGGAGACACTTAGCTATCCTGACAGCATTATTGCTTGAGAAGTCATTCCCATTCTTCTCTAGCTGACAGTTCTGAATACCCAAAGTGGGTGGGCATATATTTTATCCCTTATTGCTTGGCCAGGAATATTTTTTTCCCTTTAATATGCAGGAAGAGAAAAATCAATAAACCTCAAAACTTCTTAGGTGGAAAATAAACATCAATCTAGAAAAAGAAATGAGTTAATAAGAATGTAATCTGAATATTTTTAAATATTTGGTATTCTTTGGTATTCTGATTCTGTCTAACCTCTTTCTAGGTGCTCTTCTGAAATTCTGATTTTAAGCTAATTGCTTTTTGTTGGCTGCTTTTCAGCAGATCTGCAATCTGATCCAGCTGTTCATCTGATCAGAAAGTGCTCATGCAGGCACCTTACCTAGTGTGTTCATCTTAAAAAACTTGTTATTGCTTAGTTAACTAATTTTGTTCTATAGGCAGGTAAAATTAAGATCTTTGGGTTAAAAAGGTTTTTCTACAGAGTTGCTGAAACTTGAAAAAGTTTTTATTTGAAGCTGAGGCCTTACTGTTGTACTGAAATTATAGTGTGTGTGTTTTTTTTTTCTTCTTCCCTTTAGCCATGCTGTACCACTTCAGATTGTGGTTACTTGAATAGGATTTTGAATGCATAGACCATTTAAAAAGCACTTGTCTTATCAATTTAATCTGAGAAACCAAGAATAATAAAGGCAACAATAAAGTTTGATTAGAGGAGGTTTCTGTTTTGACTTTTTTCTAAAACTTTTTTTATTTAAGGATACCAACAGAAATCTGAGACATGTTGACCATTTGCTAGGACAGTACAGAGAATATAACAAGGAACAAACCGAAGCAATAACAACGGTGAGCAACTTTCAATTTATCTTAACTTCTTCAGTCTTTTCCATTAATAAAATTCATAGCTGAAAACTTAGTAGTAATGGACAGAATATATAAGGAGTTAAGTAGCTGTAAACAGAACCTTTTCATATTTATTTGAGCAATCTAAATCAAAATATAGTAATGTGTTATCTAATGGAACTTGCTGACAGGTTTTGTAGCTTCAGTATTTTTCTGGTTTATGAGCACCCAACAGATTGTTATGTTATGGTACTATGCCAAGCACAAGATGGATAGTAAAATAGAGTATTGGTGGAGCAAGAGAGGTTTAAAACTTGATTACAAGAAAACTGTAGCTGGTGCTTCCTTGAAACAGACACATATGAAATGTAGGAATATTTTACATATGAAGGTAGAGAGAAAGAGTGAAGAAGGCTTGCTTTCCTCAGAGAAAGAGATCCAACATGGTGTGTATAATTCTACAAGAGTAAAGCATCAATTTAACCATTGTGTATAAGCTTCTCTTAGAAAGAGAACCTTCAGAAACTGATGTTTTATGGATTGTCAAATAAAGGTGTGACAAAGCAAGTGGCTAAGAACCAAAGCCAGCAAATACAATTGTAGAAAATGAGATGCAAGTTTGAAAAATGAAGAACTTATTTACAACTATAGTTACTTCTGTATTCTTAAGTTGGCAATGGCTGCCTTTTCCTGGAAGTAAAACTACTAAAAGTAGGGATTACTGTAAAGCTGTTAAGGAAATTTGGTAGCCATATGTAAAATTGATTCCAGATGTAGGGCTGGTAGAACAATTCCAGTAAAAAATAATTTGAAGTTGTTTTCTGGATTTTACAGGGCTCTTATTGAGCATTGCTGGCAAATAGGTCTTATTTTGGTTGCAGGAGACAAACTTTTCTTTTGGGTTTTCATTATGGTGCACCATGTGCACCATCGTGTTTAAGAAACTTGATATTTGAAGCTACCAATGTTGGAAACATGTTTTGCTATAATTATGATACAGGAATATGACATATGAGATGTTGAAGAAAAGTTATTATTAATTCATAGCTGTACTTGGCTTAAAAATAATTTCGATTCTCTTAATGACTTTTAAAATAAATACTATTTTCCAGTTTTTGTAAGAAATGAGTCTGTGTTCATATTTCAATAAATTATAACTTTTCTGCAGTTAAAAGAAACACTGGAACAATCTATAGGTCAATTAAGGAGCCAGCGACTAACACGAAACTCTGGAATGAGAAGTGCATCTCTCTCAAGCTTATATCCTAGTGATCTGGATGGAGAAGGACCATCAGGTAAAATACTTAAACTGCTGGAATATACTTAAATTATGTCATATAGCTGTGATATAGAAAGAAGAAATTAAGAAAAGAAATGTGTAAGAGATAGGGCCATGAAAAGTCATCATTGATTACTTTAAAGAAATTCAGTTTAGAAATTCGGGAGACCTGCATTAATTTACACAGTTGTTTATTTGGTAAATTCTTCTAGCTTTCTGTTACATGGTATTTTCTGCTGATATCCCGAGATATCTAAATGAAACGTTGATTCTTTCAGCTGAGAAGATTCTATGTCCAGTGCATGAGTTTTAGGTACATACAAGTTAAAGCTAAAGCCAAAAGATATGGCAGCTTCTGAAGCTTGCTTCACAGCAAAAATGGGAATTTAAATTCTAAATACATGAGTTTATGGATGTATAGATGAAATTATTTAAGGCTCAGTGAAAAAGGAAAAAACAGAACCAATTTATCAACTAAGTAGGTTTTTTTCTTGTTTGCCTCTGAAAATTCATTGTATTTTAAGAAAAGGTATGTCTGTGAGGAGTATTCCTCCCAGAACTAGTGTTTAATGTATTTTAGTAGAAAACTCTATAGCTTTCATTCCTATGTAAAAGCTGTGAAGTACAGCAGTTTGAAGCTCTAATAGATTCACGTGAAGGAAAAGTTGTTGCTAACGCAAATAAAATTTGAGGAAACAACTTCTTACTCCTTGGAGAAACAAAGGAAACCTCTTTCTGGAATACATGTGTGTCATAGGTAAGAAATGTTTAAATGAAGAAGAATCCTGAGAAGAGCTAAGAGACGTATGCTTGTGCATATTATTTAATTTTATGGTTTTTTTCTGTAATGTGGCCTATAAAGATTTTGGCAAGAGGAAACACACATTTTTCTTGAAGCAAAATGAAAAATTTCCAGTACAAAGTTTTGTCTTCCTACTTATTTTTTTTTATCTCTTATCTCACAAAGGGAACCGCCACTTCCTGCCTACTTCTCCTCTCAGGGATTACGGAGACTCACAGGGCAATAAACATCGAAGGTCTAGATCTGCAAGTGTGCGATTTGTCAGTGAGACAGATAATTGGGACCAGGTACAGAGCACTAGTGGGAATTGTTTCCCCAAATAGGCAATCTGTCCCCTATTATTCCCATTCTGATTCCTTCTAGCTAAGGTAATTTTGAAAATGTGCTGTGTTTTTTCAAAGTCTCCTACGTCAGGTTGAAATTTCTGATTAATCACACAGGGGACATGGTAGAGCCCATGTCTGAATGTTCAGGGTAGGCAGATGGGTTGTGGAAGATCCAGGTTTAAATCTTAGGCACAAAACAAATGGATATTATAAATCAGGGTTTTGCATAACAATGGTCCTGGCCATGGAACTGTTGACAGCAATAGGTTGGTTTATGATGGATTAATTGTCACTTTTTATCCCATGAAGAATGGATGACCTGTTACTTTTTTTATTTGTTCCCTTAAAACTTTGACTATAAATTGGGAGCCTGCTGAATGAGGGAAATGGGAGGTTTTACAGAGGAAAATAGGCATGTGTTTTTGTTTTTGGTTTTTTCAAGCTCTGAAAGAAAGGGTATGTAAAGTCTTGGGCAAGGTAAAATACCTATTCTTGGTGTTTCGGTAGTTCCTGAAGACATCACAGTGTTCTGCTCGTTCACTTTCAATTTCATATGTCATCTATTTATAGTAACATATATAGCTGGGCAGAACTTTGTTTCACCTATACTAGCATTTGTTAGCACGAAGGGTGTCTCTCCTGACTTCACCTGTTCAGATCTTTCTACTTACTTTGCATTAGGTTTAAAAGTAGGTGCAATGTCCAAGCTCTGAACCACAGAGAAAAAACATAGTTGGGAAACTTGGTTTAGCAAATAAGTTACTGAAAGTTAAACTTCAATGAAAATGTGTCGTGAAGGGTTGAATAAAAGTGTGCAAACCTCATCCAGGCTCAGCTATAATTAATGGAATTTTATTATTTTGTATTTTATTTTTATCTGCTTTATTTTAGAAAGCGTGTATATATATATTATGTATGTATATATACGTAGATATTTTGGAATATCACAGCAAAAAAGGGTTTCTAAGCCTTGGATTAACTTGTGTATTTTAATTTACAGCTGCATTCTTTCCATCAGTCTCTTCGAGATCTCAACAGTGAACAAGTTCGCCTAGGAGATGACATCAGTCGGGAGCTTTCAAGGAGAAATCGGTATAAACAGAATATAACTCCGTGTGAAGGATAGTGTGGAAAATAATTCTTAAACCCTTTATTTCAAAAAATAACTTTGGGGAGAGTGAGGAATTGCACAACGTGTAGATGAAAGCAGTATTATCAACTGCTTAATTTATGTCATTTTTTGCAGTATTTTTAAGTGTAAATATCACCCGTTAATTCCAGTTTGTATAGTATATGTTGCTTTCCTCGCGTTTTTTAATATATGGAGAAATCAACTAGGACTTGGGAATTTCTTTTATTACAACTTTGCTCCTTATTTGTTCTTGGTACTGGAGTCCCTTGAGGGCAAGCTCTCATGCAGCCCATAAAGTACATACTTTCTCAACATATGATGCTTTATTGAATAGGAATAAGAGGAATTAGGCTGTTAATTCCTAGTAGGAAACTACTGTTCAGAAGGACTGTGTAGATGTGTCCATAATTTTTTACTTGTTGACCTGATACCTTGCTGATGCTAGATGCTCTGTTGCTTTACTTGAGGAATGGAAATGCTTTTTATCATGAATTTTCCACTTGAGGCTTGTCTCTAATTTTGCTAGGAATTTAGAGGCTGTAGAAAAAACTGAAGTAGCATAAAATTCCAGGAGGTTGTTGCTGCTTAAAATTATTATGGTTATTTAGTTTTTGCACTGTAGAATATTGCTTTACTTGTATTTTTCTATGAAGGACTGATGCTGAATTAAGAAAGACTCTAGAAGAATTGTCTGAAAAGCTCACTGAGTCCCAAAGACAAGAAACGGTGAGTGTGACTAATATGAAAAGATTATTTCTATTTAGTATTCTAAGCAGGATGTGGGCTTCTAGTTTAATGTGTGTGTTGGTAATCGGTATCACATATTGGTATGTATATCTGAACATGATGTTATTAAGGCTACTATAGGTTGTTGTGATATTACCTTTCCATAGTGAAATCAGCAAGACAAGTTTTATATTTCAGGTGCTCGTTTCAAGTAAAAGTGGGTATATTTTATGGATTTTTCTGTTTCAATATTCACAGCCTTGGAGAGAGCTGCCTTTTAACTTTGAACATCGATTTGAATGCTGTTATACTTGTTGAAGCTACTTTTGGAAAGATAAAAGTTTTCCCATGTTATGTTGATAAATACTATTGTTTCTTCTTCCTCCCTGCCTCCCTCCCCGTCCTTTTCAATCCTTACCATCTGTGTTGCAAAATGAAGGAGTCTGTTTGGGCTGCACTCTTTCTGTTCTGCTGCTTTACCAGTGCTCTCCGATACAAGGTGCAAATCCTTTGCCCTTGTCAAAGCCTATGGATCTATTACCCGATGAGGCTGGCAGAATGAATGAGATGAAGTAAATGCAAAAGAGGGGAATTTAGTATGGACATTAGGAATAAAAATAACTCTAATAGTGTGCATAGCAAAGCATGAGATTAGATGCATGTAAAAACCACGGGCTGTTATTGTAGGTGTTTGAGATCCTTTAGTAAGTATTTGTGTTTAAGAATTCTTCTAATGAGATTGCTTAATTCAGAATTGATATGTCCTTGGTGAAAGTGGGTTGGGTAAGAGTAAACACTGTTTTCCTCAAAATTTCCTTATGCAAAGTTGTTCAGGAACTTTTGGCTTTAGTGCCTTTATAACTGCGCTTTGGAGTGTTTATCACCTCCAGCATTGCCATTCTTGTATTTATATTCTACTGTATGATTCTTGGCAATAAATTGTCAACTTGAAATCTTGATAATTTCACAGGATAAGCTCATGGTAGAAACATTCAGTTTAGTGTCCTTAAATCTTTGCTTTTGTAGAGACATATATCTAAATTCTTACAGCTGTACTGGTTGGTATATTTGGTGCTGTTTGAAAATTGCCTGTGTGTAGTTAGATGTGTGATGATAAAGGTCTAGTCACTACAGTTCTTCTGAGTCACTAGTTCAGAATTAATTTTTGTTAGAGTTTATGATTCTTAGAGCCTTTTTGATGCTGAATTTGAATACTTTAAGACCCACGCAACACAGTGAATGCACATTAACTTTACCTCTAAAGAGAGCTTTTCCACCCAATATAAAAACCAGACGGCGTCTAGGGTGGTGACACAGGCACAGTTTCATGTCAAGCACTCTCCATGGCCTTGTACTTGAGAATCTATGTGCAGTTTTGGTATAAAGACTTACAGGTCCTATAGCTCTCTCTATATTAAAATCTCTTTCTTAACAAGACATTTTCTGAGATTTCTTTTTTCTTGAAAAGCGTTTGGAAGTTTGCTAGAGGAATGTCCATAAGCAATGAGACAAATACTTACTTAATTTATGGTTATATAAGATAACCCTCTTGGATATTTTGTTGCAATCTCTTGGATAGAAGTACATCCCAAATAACACAAGATGCTGATCTTTATACATAAAATTAAGTAGATGCTTACTTGAGATGGTGCCATTAGAAAGTTGTTGTAGGCTGTGTCTCTGGAAAAAGACAGCAATGTCAAGTGAAATGGGACTTACCTGGAGTTACTGTGGTTACAATATCTCAGAGAGCAAGGCTTATTGTCAGATAAGGAACTGCCCTTCAGAAGATGTGATATAAGGATTTTTGGTACTGCATAGGTGACTTGTAAAAGGTGTAACACAGGTTAGCATTTACCATGAGGGGAAATTTTAACAATATTTAAAGTGACATCAATGAAAAAAATTTGCTGTTTTTGTGATTTTAATACTCCTGTTTTAAGTATGCATTGGTGATAAACTGGGTCATACAAGAAAGGCAGCAAATATCTGTTGAAATAGATTTCAATTAGCAGGACTTGTGCGCTAGAAATAACAGTACAAAGCTGAGAAACAGGAGAGAAATTCAAGAAGTAGGATGCTCCTTGTTGAATAGTAAACATCCAGCATCTTCCACAAGATTATATTTAGCTGCATGACTTAAATGTCACCCTTGTTTTAAAAAGGACACACTGTTCTTTGTGTTTATATGCAGAGGTGGGGGGAAATTTTTGATAACCTAATCCATTTTCATAGATTTGGCTGCTACCTGAAAACTTTGTGTGGAGACATAGCTCTAGTGTCATCATCATCATTCACATGGTCTCTATTGCTAAAAATGCATGCTTGAAATCACATTCTAATATGTTCTGAATGCAGTAATTTAGTGCTAGTATTTTATGTTGTTCTTTGTACTGTTCTTCAGCGAATCACTTGCCTACACTAAGATTTTTTTATTAGATTCAGAGGTCAAGATACATACTTTCATAGTACAAATCTTGTCCTAAGTCAAGGTCATTTGGGACAAAGGAAGACAAGCGAGTTTTTGAGTTTGTTCTGCATGTACTAATTAATGAGTTAACACTTATTGTTTCTAATTTTTCTCTTTTTAATCCCCGTTGTTGTATGTTACAGGCTCTGTGACAAACTGAGGAAGGTCAGAGAGGCTACAAAAGCAGGGAACATAATTCTTGTGGGAGATAACACCTTGCTAAAGTGCCAATATACCCATGCATGGTGTGGGAAACAAATAGGAAGATGTAGGAATTTATGTGCAGTTGCAAGTCTTGAATGTCTTCAAAGTTACAGAGCTACATGATTGGAATGTTGTCATGAATAGCTAAGTGCTTTCTAGGAAAGATGGACCAGAAAGGCAAGATGGTGGAGTAGCCCATTATGCAAGAGAACAGATGGAATTTGTGGAGCTCTGCCTCAGGGAGGATGATGAGCGAGTTGAGGGTGTATGGGTTATTACAAAAGGGCAAACTAGCAAGGAATGATACTGTTGTGGGTGTTTGTTACAGACTGCCTCATCAGGAGGAGATAGTAGATTGGGCCTCAGAATCAGCTGGAAGTAGCCTCAGAATCACAGGCCCTGGTTCTTATCGGAGACTTCAACCATACTGACATATGCTAGAGAAACAGCACAGCAAGGCACAAACAATCCAGGATGTTCTTGGAAAACATTGATGATAACTTTCTGATGCAGGTGATGGAAGAACCAGCGTGGAAAGGTGTGCTGTTGGACATTATGCTAACTAACAAAGAAGGTCTGGTTGGAGATGTGAAGGTTGGGGGCAGCCTTGGCTACTATGAGATTGTGAAGTTCAGTCCTCACTGCCAAGGCCAGCCCTTGGGAATCCTTGACCCAGGAGATGAGGGAGAACGTCCAGAGAAAGGAAGACTTTCCCTTGGTCAGTGAGAATCAGTCAAACTTGACCTCTGCAAATCTATGGGCCCTGATGGGATGCATGTCCACACGCTCCCATGTACACTCTACACTGCTGTGAGTGCAGAGGAAACTGGCTGACATCATTGCTGGGCCACTCTCAGTCATCTTTGGAAGATCATGGCAATCAGGAGTTGGTGCCTGAGGACTGGGTGAAAGTCACTGACACTTCAGTCTTCACAAAGGGCAAAAAGGAGGACCCCGGGAACTACAGCTTCACCTCAATCTCTGGAAAGGTCATGGAACAGCTCATCCTGGAGGCCGACTCTAAGCATGTGGAAGACGAGAAGGGGTTCAGTGTAGTCAACATGGATTCACCAAAAGGAAATCATGCTTAACAAACATGTTTGCCTTCTACAATGGGACAACCCAATGGGACAATCCCCAGTGGATGAGGGGAGAGCAGTGGATATTGTCTACCCTGGACTTCAGCAAGGCTTTTGACACTGTCTCCCAAGATATTTCTCAGGAAGACCAAAGCAATTGGTCTGATCCCTGCAGAAGAGGGAAAAACTACTGACACAGTGTGCCAAGAAAGTAGGTTCTTGTTTAACACCTTTTTAACAATGATATTTGCCAGCAAGTTAAACTGCAAGTTAATGACCAGCAGTGGGGGTGTAAGACTTTTGTTATACTTGCAGATGAACTTCAGGTGTGTTGGGAAACAGAACTTAAATCCAGAATCCAGTCTTGGATGTGGCTTACAGGATAAAGCTTAGTAGCTGTAAAATTCAACAAGGAAGACTAAAATTGTGCTTTAAGAAAAACAGGTAATTTTAGAGGCAAGGTAATCAAAGCTGTTAAGTTTTCTGTGAATGTTTTTGAGCAGGTAAATAGACTTCTAGAAAAATGATATAGATATAAAAAGTCATGTGTTTAATCAGGCAGCAAGTTTGCTAGCCTTTGAAGTCCCTCCCAGCCTCTTCTTTCTGTGCTTTCTGCACAGAGAATATAAGCTAGCAATATGCTAGGTATACTAACTATAGTTTCTTGATAGAAGGGGTTTTTTTCCAGTAAGTGGCATCAAGATGTTTGATGGTTTGTTTTGGTTGTGGGGTTTGTTTTTGTTTTTCTTTTTGTTAGAGAGCATTATAGCTGTAATGCTGAAACTTCCCTGCACGTGACAAATATAATATATAATACATCTTTTTCAGTATCTTGTTAGAAATAATACAACAATTTTATTCTGGAATAAATTGAAGGGAGTCAAAGGCAAGACAAATGACTTGACAAAGTTGCTTTCTTACTTGCTCCGAGTTAGTGAGAATTTGCAATGAAATCTGAAGTTTGCAGGAATTCAAAGCTTGTCTAGTGCTGCCTTGTGTCATGTTATCTGTGCATGCTGTGAGCTAGACCCATGACAGTGAGGAAGGCACTGAACTCTCCTTTTAAGTGTCATCTTTGGGGGTGATGTTACTTCTGAATTTTTTGTCAAGTCAGAATCATACGTTTTCTTTCTTGATATCTTTAGTGTTTGCTTGTTTAACTTCACTTGAAAAAGATGCATGAGAGAACTGAGAAAGCTCCTGCCTTCAAAAACACGTAGTCAAAATTTAAAAAAATATGTAGAAACATTACAATTTCATTTTTTTATTTTAGGTGTACACAGGGAAAAGGATGACAGCTTATTTCCTGGTTTTCAGCAAGGGTACAAGTTTATGGACAGTGTTGTTTTCTGTTCCTGATACATAGTATCATTTTTTCTGCCAGCTGGAGTATTTTGTGACTTATTAAAAGTAACCCTAAGTAGTACTTGTCAAAACAAACATCATGTGGTCTTTATTTTTTATACCTTAGTTTTTATTCTGGATTATGACTGCAGGGCTTTCATAACGTACACGAAGGAGCGTGGTTTGACACAGTACATTTCTAATGCATCTCCTGATGGTTTTAGGAAAAATACCACATTCCAAACTGTAAGCTTACTATTTACCTGACTGTGCAAACTAGAAATGTTTTCCAAAGGATGTATTCTGTTGTAAAGAAAAAGGCTGTTTCGTTCTTTAAACCTCGTGAAGCCCAAAATATGTGTAACCTTAGTTATGTTTCTGTTGCTGCACATGTGTGTTGCTCATGTTAAAATTTTCTATGTGTGCATATGCCTAGAGCTAGTAGAAGTGTCCTTAATAGAGCAGGATGAGAACTTGTTCCCCACCATGTACATTAGAAACTAGTAGTTGAATGGTGTTTTATGTCTTTCTCTTTTTATCTAAATACCATTTGATAATAGATACATTGCTTTCTAGTGGTGGTTTAAAACAGTTAGTTTTAAGGTAGGGAGGAAATGATACTTAAATATTTTTCTTGCTAATCTTTAACAAAATAAATTTAATTTGCTGCCTCAAGAGGGTGCTGTCTGCTAGCAGCTTGAATTGCAAAAGTGAAGTAATTCTGGTATTGTAGTTTAAGATTGAGCTATTGTGTTCATAATCCCAATTGCTTTAATAAATAACTACTATTATTTGTATTGGTTTGTGCATGGATTCACAAAATATTGGGAAAAAGGCTTAAAGTGATGTAATTATTTTGTATTGTTACCGTCATTCTCTTATACTTGGCTCTTGTTTACTACTTTTCACTCACAGATTTCAGAGCATAAAAGAGGCAAACACTGGTATATTTTGCAGACTGGATATGTGAAAGAAATATCTCTTGAGAGGTTAATCAGGCTTGTGACAGAGAAGTTAAGATTTTTATATTGCAGCTTCATGTAAGGCTGCACTAAACTTGATACTGAGATATTTTACACTGCAATAGAACCACCACTGTAGAGGAAAATATGCATATACCTAAAGGAGGATATTGCTGGCAAGATAATTATTTGGTTCCCTGCTTCTGGAGTACTCACTGCTGTAACGAGTTATTTTCTCTATCATTCTAAATCTTTTTGAATAAAATACAAATTCTGTTCTTTTTTCTTTGTGCCCCATACTCTATTTACCTTTTTGCCGTTGTTGCTTTCAGATGTAGTAAAAAGCACACTAATTTCCTACAGCATGGTTTTTTTCCATTTGAAGGTGTCAGAACGCGTAGAGAGAAGACTTCAGGAGATAGAACAAGAGATGCGTGCTGAAAGACAGCTTGTAGAAAGGCGCCAGGACCAACTGGGACATATGTCTCTTCAAGTACAAGAGGTATGCAAATGAAAACTTCCCCTGTATTTAGGATTTAATTAGGAATGTGTTGCATTTGTGAGCCTGTACCTGTCAAACTGGCAAAAGTGCTCATATCTGTGGCGCATTTTTTAACTCTATCAGTCCAACTCAACTTGTTTTTATGACTAGATGATACCAAGTACAGTTTCAGTTCTTCATTATACTGTCCTGACTATCTTTAGACCTTTTTGGTAACTTCCACAAATGTTCTAAGAACCTGCCCCTATGCCCTTCCTGAAACCCCAAGCAAACAAAAGCAAGTCATTAGCTGGATTTTCTCAATTAAAACATTTTGTTTTCTAAAATGTTTGCTTGCAGTGAATCAATTGCTTGCAGTGAATCAATCACTGCTTGCAGTGAATAGTTTATTTTAAATTTATTTCAACAAACAAATGCACTGTAGTGGCCAGACAGCTTTTCATTGCTTTTCAGTTTCATTCAACAGTATCTGATGAAATATAAAATATCATTTAGGAGACAAATAGAAATGTTTATAAAATAAATTAAAATTTGAGACAGCTGCTAGCTTTTTTTTCTGCTTGTTTTAGGAAATGTATGAAAAATACTTCTTCTGATTTTACTCCTATTTTGAAAAATCTGTCTTAACATGGTGTAACGTTTTATTTCACTTTGCTTAAGATATTATTTGTGATGTTATCTCTAACTATGCAATAGAATATTACAGTTGAGAATAAATGTGCAATTTCTTGTTTTTCACTTTTAGTATTAGCAACAGTATACATGCTTTTTGGAAGGCATTATACTGTACAGTGATACTAAGGAACTTTAATGTAGAATGATGCTATGTATTTCATGTAAAGCTAGACACTGTTCAAAGAGTTAAGATGCTTTGTTGATGTAGATAAAAAGTAATCAAAAAGTTATCAAAAGGATTGTAGTTCTTCTGCTAGTATTTCAGAAAGACTTACTGTTTCATTTTTCCCCCAATTGGTGTCCTAATGGGTGAAAAGAACTGGAGTGCTTAATTTCAGTTTTCATTGCTCTCTAATATGCCCACGTCCATTTCTAGATTCTTCGGTTGTGCCTTCAGTGTGGAAAAGGAATGCTTAGTGAAATGAATTGGTGTGATTTGTTAGTGTTATCTACAGATTGGAACAAACTTTTTTTATCCTTTTAAAGGGATGATGACTTGTATCTCTAAAGATTCATTGACACTGCCATGGTTTCCTTAGAAGGAAAATTTGACTTCAAGTGAATGAGTTCAAATGTAGTTCAAAGAATTTTCGTATGGTCTTTCATAGATCATATGAATGATCATGGTCTATGTGATCATGAACCTTCAGGCTAGGTACCTTTTTTTTTAGTTGCTCATCTTTTGAATTTTATGCAAAATGAATATGAAATACTAAGTACATCCCAGACCTTCCATTCCCCTAAGATGTCCAGCTGGGAATTAAGATGGCTTAATCTTTTCTGCTGCAAATTTTATTTTATTCTGTACATATTTTTGGGAGTTATTTTTCCTGAGGAACCCTGTTCTAAAATACAGCTTAAGTTGCTGTATTTTAGAAAGAATATACTTAAGTTGCTTTGTGTACTTTTGCATAGCCTAGTTACAATAAAATAAATGTTTTGCTACAATTGTTGTTTGAATGAAATGTGTTTCTGCATAATTTTAAGAGTTTATTACTTTGTTATTCTGTTTCTTGTCCTTTGTAGTTTGAATTGTGAGTTAGATGGACTCAGCTCTGTCAGTGGCCTCAGTCTTGTGGTGATCATTGCGTGGGTGTGATGTTCTATTGAAGTCTATTTCTGTTTAATTTCTTCAAGATGCTTCCCAAGTAATATTAATGGAAAGGAGGGTAGTGTTTGGACTGAGTTTTGAAATCCTGTCATGTAATATAGCCCGGATGATTTACAGATAAATGCTATTTAAAGCATTTGTGGCTATTTAATAATACAATTTTTTCATTAGTTTGCCTGTTACACATTTCAAACCAAACAAAATAAAATTTAACTTTTGGATGTGACCAGTAGTTGCTTTAATTAAGAAATCTTGTGAAGTTTATGTGAGGTTTAAGTGTTATTATTTTTAAGGAAAGTGCAGTGCCTGTAACTGACCACTACTTGTCAGTGTTTTACCATCTTAAGAGAATCATCTTCCTAAATTGCAGTTATTAAATTATATATTTTCAGTGTCTAACTGAATATAACAATACATTTGTTTTGGTCTTTCCCTTGTCTGTCTTTTCCTTCTATCAGACTTTTGTATAATGTGCAAACTTCTTACTTGTATTGTAGTATTATTATAATTATAGACTAATTATTAACCAAGATGATATCTAGTGATATCATCTATACTGATGATATCTCTATACTGACCATAAAGACAGCTTTGTGTATAACATTTTACATGTTTCATTTCTAAATATGCATTTTTATTTTGAATTTGTTGTTTATCTATGCTGTGTGTAGGTGGATAAAAATTTTCTCTACATTTTCATGTATCTTTTAACTTAATGTGTATTGATGCATTTAAACAGCAATTACTGCAAATTAGAAAATAGCAATTAGCAAAAAAACCCATGCAAATCTTATATCTTTGATTATTTCTAAATTCATGATACAAACATGTTTCTGATTAGAAAGGAGAACAAATATGCACATCTTGCCAGTGCTGTAACATGTATACATGGATTGCTTTAACAACCTTATTAGTTGTGTAAACTAAAACTATTTTGAGATTCCTCAGTGCTTTTTTTTTTTTTAACATAAAGATACCATCACCTCTTCCTGTTTGTTTGCATTTATGCATCTATGTTCTAAAAAAAGATCAAGTATCATTCTGAAAAATGGGCTCTAAAGAGCTTTTATATACATTGGGTATCCTGGATAGCTTTACAAAATCTTGTGCTTGGCTTCCTGGATTTTGGTGAAATGTGTCCATGTGTTCATGCTTTGCAAGCTTCAGGCAAACAGAATCATCTTTATAGAATAGTTTGAACCCACTGACTGTGGTAAGGCAATGACTATAGTTAGTCTTAAGGTAGCAACTGGATAGGCCAGGAAGCATTTTTTACTTTTCCTTTGTGCATCTATATGCTTAGATTCTGTTTTCCCCCCACTGCAAATACCGTGAAGTGCAAGAAGCTGGTGGACAGAGTGGGGTAAACTGATGGTCAAAAGTGATATTGAAAATTCTTTTTTACATATCTTTATCTCTGATCTTTTTAGACAAACATAAACTTGATCTGTGCTCTGAGCCATCTGGATATTTTAGGGCATCATTGATACTTGCTCTTTGGCTCTGTGCTATGCCACCCATGGATAATGGTTTCTGTTTTGATTGAATCTGACTATTTCTTGGAACATGAGCAAGTCTCATACCTATCTGTCACTGAAATAGCTAGGTAGTCTGTCTTTAGATGCCTGGCTGATACATCTAGGTAGCACAGTTGGACCCATGCTAGTCACTAATGTAACAGGTTAGGGAAAGGATTTTCATTCAAATTAGGATGTGGTACATTTTTGCCTTATTTTAAAATATAGTGTGAGGCTGGTCTGCTTGTGTATTTCTGATAGTGTGAATAACTCACTGATCTGTTACACTTTGAAAGAGCAAATTGTAGTTTGTGGTCTGTGCATTGCTTTCAAATAATCTGGTTTTATTAAAAAAAAAAAAAGGCAACACAGCAAAACCAAACTAAGACCAAACCCCAAACCCTTAGAAAAGTCAGCAGACTTAAGTTGCGGTGAAAGTTATGATATACTCTTGAAAGATTTTCATAAGTTGGAAAGATTGAGAATTTTTGTTACAGAATCCTCCACATAGTTTTCCTCAAGCATAGGAAAAATTCATCTGTCCAGCAGGGAGTAAATTATTTTATCTTTTTGAAGTTTTGGGGTTTGATATATTCTGTATTCATATGGATGAGGTATACTGAGTTGAGGTATACCAGTTAGGTTTATATTCTAATACTGTCTTATGCTAGTGAGCTCTTTATAAAGACCTGTAAGAAATTTTCTCTTTGGTCAAATCAAAAGTTCATCTAACTTGACCACCTAGGCAGGCAGTGGAATATCTAGCTGGTTCATCCCAAAACCATGCTATGAAGACCTCTTTACATGGAATTTCTCTGTTTTCTTGTTTTCTCCTCTATACCTGCCCCCTCCAAGGCCTCATCAACCTCCCTGTCAGCCTCCTCCTGACCAACCTGGATACTAATGCTTTCAAAAGAAGGATCTTGGTGGGCGAATCCTGTTGACTGTAGGCCTGTAACCATTCCTTGGTGCTTCAGCTCTTCTGTGCAATGTCTGCCTGCTGCTTGGGAGCCATCAAGGAGGAGTGTGTGCTGGGACTGTTATCCTTAGCATCCCCTTCCTAGTTCCCATATTTGGCATTTGACTCCCCCAAACTCTTCTTTGGAGACAACAAATGAAATCAAAGAATGAGTGGGGTCTTCACATGTTTTGTTTGTTTCTTTCTTTTTTCCCAAGAGAAAGCTTACATAGAGATATCTTTAGTGGATGAAAACAAGAATGGCGCAAACCAGGAAGAGAGAATTATTTAAAAAAGAGTACAGGAAAGAGGCAAAACATAGAATTAACTGTTACCTATGCAATTTCTGAATTGTCAGTAACAGCTGATGTTCGTCGGGCTGTGATGACCAGATGTTTCCATTTCTTAATGACATTTTGACTGATTAATTGATTTCCTACCTAACACCTACTGGAATGATGCATGTTTCTCAGTTGAAGCAGTGCATATGTAGTATGTTTAACTTCCTATAACATCACATTCTTTTTGTAGTATTTTAACTCTGGTATATATATATGAGCTGTTTCCTTCCTTAAAATGAAATAGGTATGGGCTATTTTTACAATATGCAGAAAACAAAACCGAATGTTATATTTGTAGTATCAGTTACAGGAAATACTGCCTTTTTATTTGAAATTATTGCTATTTAATAGCCTAAATATCAGTCAGTGATCCCGATAAGTTGAAATGGCATATTTATTTCTGTGGTTTCTTCTTGGAATTGGGATGTACTACAGATGCAGAGACATACTTTTTGCCTTCAGCAGGAAAATCTTGGACAATTTTACTAGTATTTCTAATTTCAGCCCAGCTTTAGTATTTTTCTTATGATACTCACATCTCTAGGCAAATCTGCACATGAAAACATGCATTTTTGATACTATGTTAATTCTTAATTTAGTCCCAAAATGTGGTTGGCATAAAGTTGACTGTATATAACAGAACTTCCAACTTTGCTAGTAAGAATGAAGCTCAGCTGGAGGTAGTACACATCATATATTCAAAGTAGACTGTTCTGATCTGTTACTTCTAGTCATTAAAATAAACAAAACGAAACAAACCACTCAAAGAAACAGAAAGAAACCTAAAGAAAAATCCCAACCCAAAACCCAGCCAACTTGTGCAATAATGGCATTAGTTGAAGTGATGCTCTTTGACTTTTGTTTACATAGCCTTTTGGGACTTCTGCCGAGAGTCTTTTTGAGTAAAATATGTGCCGTGTTGAGTTTTATAGTTGACTGGAATGATTGATTTGAATCTCTACTGAATACTTAGGGAAATATCTTAAATATGTTACAGTCTTCTAGTATCTGATTAGGGATCAGTATGACTAAAAGTGTAACTTTATGTAGCATAATATTTTCAGTGACATAGGTATGATTAATATCTTCCACAGTTTCAGTTTTTAATGTAAGCTGTTCAAGCAGGAGAGTAGCCCAAACTATACTGAAACCCTTATGTTTCCTGAGGTGAGGATGTAAGAGTGAGATAAATATATAAATCCATTTATTTTCTCTAAAAAGCTACTTATGAAAGCAAAACTTCTAAAGCTGAGAGACTAGCTTCATTGAAGTTGATTAATATCTTGCATTCTGTTTTCATACTATGAAATTGTTCTCCACTATACAGTGGAGAGAAAATGTTCAAAAACTGAATGATATTGCACTATTAATAGAGGCAAATTTCAGGGATATTTGTTAAAAGAGATATTCCTTTAAAATGTAAAATGAAAATGCTGCTTGGGAAGAGCAGACTGGGAAAAAGACATTTCATTCTCTACAGGCTATGGTTTTTGTTGTTCTGTTGTAGTTTTAGCAAGGAATTGTGAAAGGAATAGGTGTACTTATGCTTTATTATGAGATGAAAGTAAAAGATTTGTGCTAAGTTCTCTAATTAATTGATTTGTGACTAATGTGAAAGACAGGTGGTCATGTTGTGCGGATAAAGAACATGATTTATTAACAATTGATCAAATTCATGGTGAACTATCAGTATATGGCTACTGATCTCTCTCAGCTGATATTTAAAATGAGCCAATGACATTGTTGTGGCTTAAGATATCCAAACTTGGGTTATGTATGTTGCAAATTGTACATGTCATTAATGTCTGTCATGCCTAATGCTTCCTTTGCCAGTGATTGTCTGTGTTCTGCAAATAATGTTGGTTTGCAGAGGGAAAGGATTTTGAAATTGATATTCAAGGCAATATTATTTTTGTGAGATACTTTACAAAATGTACATATGTGGTTTTAGATACCTCAGTCTGAGAGGGAACAGGAAAAGTCCCCATGGATTTGTTTTGTTTGCTTTTTGTTGTTGTTGTTGTCAAAGTAGGGCACATCAATGTCAATAACTTTTGATTAGCAATGTTTCAGTTGATTCAGTTGTAATACTGCATTTTAAGCATCTGCCCAGATTCAGATAAAAATAACCTTTTCCTTTTTTTTTTTTTTTTTGAGTTCCAACACAACTTGTGGTAGTGTTTTCTTTACTACAGTGCACTGTATCATTGTTTTTCATAACATGCACACCTTATATTAGAAAATATATCCATCTTCTCTGATATGTGCACAACTAATCTGTAGAGGATCTGCCTTTTAGACCTTCATCTCAAGGCGTTTGGGGTCAACCTTAAGCGTCTGGAGCTCTATACGTCGGAAGGATGTTAGTGCTAGTTTAGACTTTTTATTTGTCCCTGTTCTCTGCATGGGTGTGTTTATGTATGCATGGACTTATATTTATTTTTTCATAACAATATACATTGGCTCTACATGGAAATACTAGAAGCAGACAGACAGCATTTGTCTAGATCTTCTTTCTTAAATGTGTCAGCAGATTTTTTAATTTTAACAGCCTTGGAAAGACAGCTTCTGTAACCTTTGTAATGAAGTTTACAATGTATGTTTCTCCTCTAAAGGCTTTAAGGAAGCAAGATGCTAAAGCGGCTGAAACAGAAGAACTCATGAAAAACAAACTTGTGAAATATGAAAGTGAAAAAAAACAAGTAAGACTTAATTTTTTCCTTTTTGGTTGGTTTTAAATGTTTGTAGTGTCATCTGTTACAGTACATACTTCCTTTTTCAGAAAAACCAGCAGGATAAAACTTACTTTACTCTTTAAGAATACAAGGTTTGGGTTTTTCTCTGTGTCAGAGGCACTGTGAATATAGCTATGCTGAACTTGTGTCTCTTTCAAAGCTCTTTAGTTATAGTGTGTTACTTCTAATGACTCTTCCATCCTGCTAGGCAGACAGATTTATAACTTGGGGATTATCCTTGATTTCTTTCTCTGAATTGCCTCTAAATTTATACATAGTCTGCTGTTGCTTATTTGCAGCAGCTCAGAGGTGCGTCTTTTCTTCATCTCTGCAACTAACTTATGCTGGTTATTTTGCACCATAGTTATTATTAATTGCTCTTACTGAATATGTTGCCATATTGCTCTCTTCCTGTTCATAGAAAACAAGATTTCTTGTATTTCTAGCAAGATGCTAGGGCTGTAGTTATACCCCTTTATGCTAAACCTTTATGGAGTATTTTTTGTTATGTTGCTCTCTTCATGCCCTTAATGCTGGTCTTGTTTACTTTGCCGATTTGCCAACCTCTCAACATCCTCTTTGAGATTGCTATCTCAACAATAACAATTTCTGCTGTCAAAATCTATATTTATTTCCATGTGGATCTTTGAACTATTTATGGTAGAAATCAGAAAATATTTTGTAGATTTTGCTTTCTGGTTTTTTTCCAAATGGTCCTAAGTTTGACTATATCTGATTATCACAGTTTTAATATTATGTTTTTAGGAAAACTGTTAATTTTATGAAATTCAGGGCACTTCAATTTTTAAGTCATCTTGTTTCCAGAATAATTCAAATATATCATCTTGTACAACACAGAAAACACACAGATTTTAGTAATTACCAGTTCTACCAATGCATGTCATCTTTAACACTTCTATGAATAAACTATGTAACAAAGGTGTCTTCGAATACTAAATGTTCATTTTGAGTTTGAAAGTATGTTTCAAGTCCAGAGAAAATGTTTTTGAAACTTGATCTTCCGTTATTTTACTTTTAACCCAGTAAAAATTTGCTTTTGTGCTTTTTTTGTTCTGGATAATACAAGTGTCTTTGTATCTTCATGTGATAGAGAATATTGTGCAAAAATTATAGACTACTAGTTAAATTCTCTTCATGTAATTTAAATAAATGTAGCAGGGATTTTGTAAAAATGAAAGTTTACTTTAAGATTTTGGACAAATAAAAATATTGTGTATATTATACTTTGTTTTAAATAGATGCTTATATAGATTAATTTGTGTGAGAATTAAATATTTGAAATACCTTTTTGTGCTATGATACATACATTGCTTTTCTATCTTTATCACCCTCTGAAATGAAAGCTTGAGCAGGAATTGGAGCAGTCTCGGAAAAAGTTGAGTGAATCTGAAGGCATTAGAGAAGTTCTTTTGCATCAGGTAACTGCTTTGGCATGGTAAAAATCTTAAAGTTTTCATATTAGGTTATGTTTGAGTCTTTTTGCTTAATCTTCCTATTTCATACTCTGCTAACATTGTTTTGTGAGGGGAAAAAAGAAGATACAGGTTTAAGTGTCTAAAAAGGTGTGGACTGAGCTCTTGTTATACTTTTTCTGCTTTCCAAACTTTTATGTATATATGTTCATATATAGTAATTATAGTAGTGGTAGCAATGGTACATTTCAGTACATAAACACATTATTTCTAACTTCTTTTCATAGTGTGCTTTAGAAAAACTTCTATATTAGTAATTATTGTTATGCAAAGTGCATGCTATAATTGGTGAATTCAGATAAATGAATGACCTAGAAGTATTTGCTGTATTGCTGTATTAAAACGTGATAAAAATATATAAGCAAATATCTGAAAAACTAAAGTGTCCTCTAAACAGTAGCTATTGATGCACATATGATTAAACTTAGAATAGGAAGGGGGCAATTGTTATACTTATCTTTTAGCATTAGTTGTTTGACTTGTGTATCTAGCAGAAGTTTGAGTTGGCTGTATTACTGCTTTGATTTTAACTCACTGTGCATGGAATATAGAGTAGTAAGAATTAGAGGTATTTTTCTCCAATTCAATTTTAGCATGTCTTATTTTCTTTATTTTCCTGTATCATGACACCTTCTTTGTAAGTGCTATCTGTATATGATAGAAAGAAAAATGTTAAAAGGCTCAGTGCATGTTAAGAATAAATACATTGTATTTTTAAGGAGCACAATTTAAATAAAATACATTGTTTATTAACAACAACAAATATTGTGATATTTTCACTAGCTATGTAAAAAGACAGTTGTAACATATACTATGGTAGCATTTTGTTTGGTTTAGAGAAATTAATGTGCAACTGTGGTAAACATTAACAAATTAAAATGTTTCCTTTCATTTTGAAAAATCACTTTGTGGCCTGTAATTAGGAAGTAATTTGTCTTTTTGTTTACGATCTGCAGTACTCTCAAGATTCACTTATAAATATTATTTGTGTGTAGTATTATTTCTTTCAGTGCTTGATAAAAGTATGCTGTTTGCTCCTTCATTCTTGTTTTTTATTAAACGTTTGATACTTGTACATACATTTTAGATTGAGGATCTTCGTTCCCAACTTCTGAGAGCAGAAGAAGACCGTGTAGAATTGCAACATCAAATTTCACAAGCTGCTATGCATCGCCAAAGCTACCAGGATGTACAAGATGATGACAGGAGAGTTAGAGCAGGTACAACTTATATTTTGCACTTGAAGCCTACAAATTAGTAAGACCGGACATTAACTGTCTTAGAATTGCAGTCTAATTCTTCTACTGTTTCAGCAAAAGCAGCCACTTAATTCCTCAGATTTAAATTAATAAGTATTGGCACCTGAATATTAACAGACAAATAGCAATGATGGTTAATTTAGGATTAAATATCTTAATTTGCATGGTTAAAACAGATGAGACAATTTCAGCAAACTGGATAGTGTTTTTACAGAAGAAAAACATTTGTATTATTTTTAACTAATAATTTTTCAGAAACCTTGCATTTCAGTCCTTGTGTAGTTTGAATTCTGCCATCTTGAAAATCATAGCACGAGTCATTTATTAGGTAGTTAATAAGGCTGAGGACTTTCTGGTAGAATTTCTAAGGAACAATATTTTCCTGAGTGGTTAAGGAAATTTTCCTGTATGGTGCAGGCAGGGCTTCTGTTTGTAGTATGTTAGAGTTTTAGAGATGGAATAATTTTGTTTGGAAGAAAAATACTTTAAACAATTTCAAGATATAATTGCATCTTAAATTACCAGTTTAGCAAGGTCTTAACTTAATTGTTAGTTATCTATCTGTATTTAAACTTTTCAAACATAATCAGAAAGGCATTAGAGAAAGTCTTTATCTTTCTCCTTATTAGCATGGAAATGTATTACTCAAGATAATACAGGAATAGTGTCCAAGTCCAGTGTTTATGTGAATGTTTAATTGGTTTGGCTAATGACTTATTTTTGTATTTTAATACTTCAGCTACAGCATTATCTTGATTTTTAAAATAGCACTCTGACTCCCTGTTTTACAACTCTTATACAGAGCACTGCAAATTGACTAGATCATGTACATGGCTGAGCTTCAGAAATGTAACACAAAATAATAATTTCAATTGTTTTTCTCCAATCGAGTTAATGTTCTACTGAAAAGTCAATTTACTTGAAACAATATACCTTTCATGTTAATGAGAACATGTTTTAATTTTCCCATTAATTATATAATAATAAATCAAGGTGGTTGTAAAAATATGAAGAAAAAAAATGTACTGGAGCTATTAAGATGTCTGCATATATTTATATAATTTTTACAATTATGTTTTACCTTGCTGTGTTATTTTTGTTTTTTCAAAGATACATGGGAAGAAGACAAATGGAGATTTATTTTTTTTATGCCTCTAGTAGTTGTCTATGAATAAAGACCTTTGAATTTCTGGTTGAAGGAATTTATAGCTTAGTCTTATCAAAAACTGTGGTTTGACTTTTAGGATTCAGACATAAAATTCACAGATAATGTGACTTCCAAATCAGGAGGTGTTACTCTGATGGGATAAAATCTTGGCCTTGAAGCTTATGGCCAAATTTCATTTACATCAGAACTTCTCCATTGTTTTTTCCGTCCTATTTTATTTTATTAAATTTTGTATGGGTTTTGGGTGGTTTTGGTTTTTTGCGGGAGTTGGGGTAAGGTGTGTGTGTGGGGGTGTGTGTGTGTGTGTGTAAGAGTGGAATACCCCTATAAAATGACTGAAAAATACTGTCTGATTCAGTAAAAGGTTATGAGGTTATGACACAGGTATAGCTGTTTTTATGTATTTTGGTCAAAATCAATAGTTATAGAATAGTCTCAAGTAGAGAAGAAAATTGCCAAAAGAGAAATGAGATAAAATTAATTTACCACAAGTCAGTGTTTCTACTGAGTCTGTTGCTCTGTTCTTGCTGTTTTACAGTAGCTGAAAGATACGAGAGAGAGAAGCAAGATCTGGAGAAACATATTTTGGAACTTAAAGCAAAACTGAATCATAATGCTGTAATGTCAGAGGTAGAAGAACTAAAGAGATGCATAGAGTGTAAGGACAAGGAGAAAGCACAGCTTGTAATGCACATACAGGTAAGTTTGGTTTTGTTGCTTTTTGTTTGACGGTGTTTTTTTTTTATAATTTTTCATCTGTTTAACATTAGATGATAGATTAGGGATTAATCTTTCAAACTAGGAGTTACTGTCGTGGTCTTCTTTATTGTGTAAATAACTTTGAAAAGTCATTTGAGTTTGCAGAGTTTTATTCTCTTCCATCTTAATACCAAAAAAGGTATTTGCTATTGCCCATGATTTCATGGTTTGGATTACTTCTTTCCCATGTGCAAAGAAAAGGTGATCTGATTTTTATCAGCAGTTATCGTTAATAATGGGTTTTGGAATTACTTTTATAAGGCAGTACTTATTTCCTTATTCTCCATACCATCATGCTTCAGAACTAAAGTTTAACTTCAAAAACTCAGATGCCTTGGTCTACAAGACAGTGCAGTAGAGTAACAAAAGCAGATTACAGTTTCTCTTTTTTAATCAATTAAATGCAATACAGTAATGTAATTATTATTATATGTATTAGTGTTCTTATGTTTGATAAGCAATACTATTTAAAGTGATTCTCTGTGAAAAGAATAAAAGCAGTCTTTGGTACTGGAATTTTAGTTAGAAGACTTTTACCGCAAAATTAAATCTAAGTAGGCAGTAGCCTTTTTTTTAAGATGGGAGATTTCTGTATTTTTTGATCTCGTCTAGATTTGTCATTAGTAGTAAGATGCCTGAACAGTAACTATTTTCTTCTCTCTCATGACTGTCAGAGAAATGAGGTTGTTTTCAAAAGTGTGTGTATTATTTCAGTATTCAAGGACTTAACATTTTATTGTGCTCGTATTGGGGCATTCTGTAAGCAAGGGGTTTGTAATTTGTATTTATTTTTCTGGTGAGGATACTTTGAAATGATGTCATATCACTTTGGAAATTCAAATGTCGGAATTTATTTTTTGGTGTTTTCATAGATTTACAGGACTGTACTGTTCAGTTTACTTCTACTGCTTTTTTACCTTGTCAACTCCTGTGCTGATTTGAATGAAAGTAGTACATCAAATTACATTTGGAAAAAGTTGCAATCTCGAAATAAGTTCCTACATGCTTTATGAAATTTGGTCATTGAATAGGTTTAAAAAGACCTCAAGTGCTTCTATAGAGGGTAAAACAAGTAGAACTCGTTTCCTGATGCCCATCAGCATTGGTATTATAGCTGGCCTATAAACTCCAGACTAACCCAAACCATTCTGTATTTTTGGTTTGTGGGGCCTGAGAAATTCCAATTACTTTGGAGGCAGGAATTGTGGAATAAAAACCCACAGAAAACCAATTACTTTAAAATTCTGCTTGTAGAACATGCTTTCTTAAGAGTCAGAATGATTTTCTAATACTAATTTCCTGCTCTGAAAATACTCATGTGAGAGTGCTCAGTCGGGGTCGTTGTCATTGCTCTGAGTTAGAAATCTTTGACTTCCCTCATTTTCTCAACAGAAAATACTTTGTTCTTCTTATCTGCTTCCCACTGCCTTTCTCCTACAGAGGCAGTAACAGGAAAATAGCTAGTGTGTTTTTCTTTTAATGAGACATCAAGGAGTGCAAGGATGTGAATTTCTAAACTCGTGTTCTAACAAAGCATTTTGTCAAGCTCTTCTAACAGCTGCTCCTCTCAGATAGTCTGATTCCCAGTTGGAAGTGACCAGTCATGTTTGACTTTGGTGTAATTTATCTTTGTTTAATGGGAGGATCTAACTGCACTTGCCTCTGATGTAGATGTGATACTAGAAATTTCTTTTGATTTATTTAAATGTCATTGTTTTCAACAATTTGAGTTATGTGTTGTTCATTTAGTCCCCAAGAGTTGCCATAAAATCACATGATGTAAAATAGAGAGGATGAAAAGGTTAAAATGTATTCTTAAACTCATGTTTAGAAGTGAGTTCAATCTTAAATTAATTTTTAAATTTAATAGAGAAACATTTTATTTCAGTTATTGTTGTTTATGTGAGCATACAGCTGTGAGATCTTGCAAATGTATACAACTATCTTAAATACACTTTTCTGCATGAAACTGTATAGATATTGGGCTGTTATGGTTGACTATTATGATCTAATTATTATGACTAAGAAATAAATGAAGTGCACGAATTATAAGGATGCAATACCCTACTTTCTGCATAAGTGGTTTTAGACTCTTATGCCTGTGAAATTGTTTGATTTTCTACCTCTTCATTCTAATAAGGTCTTAGTACAGTCAGTTTGTTAAAATATTTCAGATTTTCTGAGGGAAAATTATTGATGTGTTTATATAATATTAGAATTCTTCAGTAATATGTCTTTCAGTCTTATGAATATTGATTTGTATTCTCATTAAAATTCATTTTATGACTTTTCTTTTCTTCTACAGATGAAACTGTTAGCCAGTTATTGTCATTATACAAGCCAATTAAGGTTTCTGAAAATCAATAAGTAACTATTTTCTAAATTTAAAGATATCTTACAAAATATAAGAAATCAGTACTTCTGCAGACCAGCCTGTATTGCCATGTCAATGTTCAAATACTGCAATAGTGCTCCAGATAGATCTAAAATGAACAGATGCTATTTGCTTTGATGAACTTTCTCTCTAAAATCACATATCAACCTGGGGGGGGGAAAGATGGTTTTGGTGTATCTTGTATGATGTTATCTTTCAGGAAGATTAGCAGTTCAAGCTTTGGAAAAATATAGAGAAGCCATCACTTAAAGAAATTGATTTTGTGCAGCATACTTTTTACTGAATGAATGTACCTTTTGACTGATTGGATGTATCTGTCTTTGATTATTCAATTCACAGAAGTTATACTTGCATGAAAAATCTAAATCTTCTGGATTAGTGGTTCCTAGTGGTTAGATACATTGTTTTGCAAGAGATGCAGATCAGATTGTGATAATAAATTAGTATCTGGGGGTCTGTATTTGGAAAAATTAGTTAGAGAATAATTAGGTTCAATAATTAATTGTTGAAAGCATTCCCAATGACAGTAGTATGATTGCATAGCATTACAATCTGGTGGCTGTACTGCTGAGGTACAGGGCACCAAAAAGAAATGAGGGAGAAAAAGACATATAGATCCACTTTAGGTGACTGATCCAATTAGTATGGTGGGGTGAAATGTGACTTTCTGTATTCCTACCGGTGTAGAATGTTTGCACATAGCTGTGATATAAGGCACTTGTTCTGTAAACTGTAGCAAATGAGTGGTCCTCACTTGCATTTTAATTGTTCACGTGAGTTTTAAGAAATTGTATACTGAATACTCTATATGTAGTGTTTTCTATACCTAGGATGAATTTTGTTTTGTAGTTTGTGGTGATTTTAGTTTTAAATTGGGTGTCAAAAACAGGGCAAGAGTATGATATGAGTAGTCAAACTAGGGACTAGAAGTCCAAACTGCAGGAGTTTCTAGAATGGTAGTAATCACATGTTTTGTGCCTGTAGTGATTAGTTTACACTTCAGGTAAATAACTAGTCTATAACTGGAAAATGTTGTTCTCTTTCTCTGCCTCCAGTTTCTTATGAAAGTTGAAAGCTAGATTACATGCTGGGATATTGGATCTGTAGAAAACTAGATGCACAACTGTTTTACCTGGGGCAAATGTTGCATCTGAGTTTGTTCATCATTTCTGTTCTGTGTCAACTCTAGCCAGAGCCTCTCAACTGAAATGTCTGTGGCAGTGTTGTAGTCTGAGGGCTCATACAAACTTTGTAATTGGTACTTGCATTTAGATCTCTGGAGCATTAATATGCTGTACTCCCAGGATTTAGTAGCTAATCTTAATGACATTTTTTAACTGTTCCACAAAAATAATTATCTCTTATAAAGATCTTCAGATATTAAAGCCAGGAGGAGAGTATTTGATGTTATATTGGGGGTGAATTAGTTGACATGAATATTCTAATACCTTCCCTTGGTTCTGTTAGCAGTGAAACTATGAAAATAATCAGATTAGAAAAACTGAGACCCAGAATCATCTTGTGTAAAGATTGAGAAGAGATAATATACCACAATCAGTTTTTCTTCTGAAGTAATCACAATGCAAAGTATGCTAACAATTGCTGTATATATACGCAATATATTTTACCAACAAAATGTCCTGAATATCCTGGGTTGCTTCTGTCAGGAGAACCTTCATCCATACTGTTATAATGTATGTCACATAATATTATCATACTTTGTTGCATCTAGAGAAGCTCACTGAGTTCTCTGTGTGACTGACCTTGAGCCACAGAAGACACTGGATACTCCTTGGAATCTGAAGTGTTTAATCTGTAAGGTCAGCATTTGTCATCTGTATAGAATTTTTTTGGAATCACAGGTGCTTAGTAATTTGCCACTTGGAAGGGAAACTCAAGTGTCCAAGGAATGTAGTTTTTTCTCTTTTTTCCTAATGAGTGCAATCTCCTGAAATTGCTTGTCCTTTCTCTTAGATTATTTCAGTCTTGTTAACTACGATAACAATTGAGAAAAAGAAAATTGGATTAATATTAGAACAAACAAAAAAACCCTCCAGCAAACAACTCCAAAACACCCCACATCTCTGTATTCTTGTCATGGAGAAATCCTTAAAATATTTACATTCTGAATTGCCTAGAAGGGTAATTCCAAGATAGAAGTGTGAAAATTAGGGTATTCTGCAGGGTCTAAAGTAAGCATCACTCTGCCAAATTCTCCTGCCATAGTAAAAGGGCAGCCTGCAAGGCTCAGGGCACAGCTGTATCGTGGGGAACCACCATCAATATGTGCATAGACATGGTTGTGACACTGAGCTCATTGTCCAAACTTCAGAACTGAAGAGGATATCTTCAGACTCATTCCACTGGACATAGACCTGCTTACAACTTTCAGCACAAAGTTTAAAAATGTTCTCAAAACAAAGATGGAGACTGAGATCTTTGATAATTCCAATTTCTTTAGCACTAACACAACTCTAGGCACTGTAAATCTGAAGAGACCTGGAAGCTGGGTTAAGGTGTAGTCTGTGATCAGGACTGGTGTTTC